ACTTGAGAAGCTCCATTCATTGACCCTTTGTTTTTCTTAACAAATTTCCTTTTTGCAGGTGTTATACAACATAGCTCTGGTCTACGCCAAACTGGAGGACTGGAAAAAAGCAGAAGAGCACCTCATCTTGGCAATGAGCATGAAGAGCGAGCCTCGACACAACAAGATTGATAAGGCTATGCAAGCCATTTTGGTAAAGAATAATTTCTTCACATGTTGATTCCTTCCTGGGCTGCCACTAGGGTGGCCATTCATCCCGTTTTATAGAGGACAGTCCGGTTTTCTGGTCCTTTGTCCTCTATTGATATGAAACTGGACGCCTTTATGTCCTCTATTTTTCACCGCTTGGCACCCTCCCCTCCCCCCAGCCACGGACACCGCCGCAGCCACCCACGGGAGCTCCCTGCTCGGCCTGCCCCCACCACTGACACCACTGTGGTAGCCTGTGGGAGCTCCCCGCTTCCCGCCACCGTGCCCCTGTTGCGGACACTGCCACTGCCACCTGTGGGAGCTTGCTATGCCCCCTCAGCCTCAGGAGGCATGTAACGTTCATGGTGGTGGGGACAGTTGCACTAAATGCAACTCTTCTCTATGCTTGAGGTACCTCAGTGCCCATCGTAGCTGCCACTGAAAAAGCAAGGGCCTTATAGGGATAAAAGAGACTGAATTCTATAAAGAAGGGGAACTATCCTGTATCAGAGGCTTTACAAAAGCAGCCAAGAGCTGGGGATTAATATATGAACATGGGTTTCGGAGCATATGCGGAAAATGTGAATGAAGGGTTTTGGGGAGGGCTAGGACTGAAGCTGTGTAGTACATGGGCTAAGTTCACCCAAAAAGAGCTACATGAAGAGATAAAAGGCGGGCAATGCTGGAACTGTCTGTGCTTTCAACATGTCCCTATGACTTCTGTATGCTACAGAAGCAACAATTATTTGAGCCAGTGGTGATCCCCCTGGGGAAGCTGTTTAGGCCAAATGAGAAGCAAGTGGCTCAGCTGGAGAAGAAAGATTACCTGGGAAAAGCTACGGTAGGAAAAAGTTCACATACTGCTTTCAAGCCAAATATGAGAGGGGGGGCAATGGGGTGGTCTCTGCCCAGGAAATCATCACCGTTATTCATTGTGTGTTGGGTGCTGAGAACATGAGCAGGACAGAGTGGCAGATGCTTTTTGCCCCAAGAAGCTGAGGCAGATGCTGAGGGAGGGAACTGAGAGGCAAAACTGTGGTAGAATTTAGAAGCTGCATGCACCTGTTTGCAGGATGACTCCCCCTCCTGCCCTGATGCTCTCAGTCCTTAGCTGGACACAAGGAAATACTCATTTAGCATTTCACTGGAACTGATCCACCACAGCTCCTGCTCCTTTTCACAAATGCTTCTGGGGGCACATGCTAGTCAAATATGATGCATGCTTTTGGTTTGAGAGTTTCCAAGTTTTCTTGATCGAACGCCCCTAAACAAACTCCACTAAGGCCACGCCACAGCTGAACTTGGACAGGGGTCAAGATGTTAATAATAAAAGAAGCATTTTCTTCTACTGGGTGAAAGCCAAATATTACGGTTCATGAGACACAGAGAAAAATGGAAACAGAAAAACAAAGCAGCAGTGGCAGACGTGCAAAGTGGATCAGACAGGTATCACTCCAGCAGATCAAATATTCCAAGGGGCTGTCAGCAACATGGAGACTTTTTAAAGGCTGGGATTTTCAAAGAAACCTAAGAGCTATTGAGGTGCTCCAATCACACTGAAAAGGATTTAGAAATGTAATTCCTTTGAGCATCACACATTAATGATATAAATTAATGCTAACTTGTCAGGATCCCCTTGAGGGTGTTGAGGGTGAGAGCTGAAAGCTGATTTCAGTTTTGGGATGGGTGAAGTCACAGCAGTTCTTAGCACCTGGATGTTCCTTGGTGCTAAAAACACTTGAGCAACATCCTGGCTGCAGAGACAAGAATGTATTGAAACGCAGGCAGGTAGCTAGGAGTTTCCAAATCTATGGAGTCTGGGACATAAACTGCTTGGATCAGAGCAAGCTGCAAGCAAGAGAATGATATTAGTAGGAATTAGCAGGATACGAGCAGGAATTAAAGCTGAGGAAAAGCCAATAATAACCACATAACTAACTAAATGTCCTTCTTTGGCTCCAGGTTGTGGCATCTGTGGTTGACAAGGATAATTTTTCAGGGTTTGCGGCACTTCAGCCACAGGTGAGTAAATGTTGGCTGGAAACATGGCAGCCCGTTCAGCACTACAGAGAGTAAGGAAACAAATATAGGCATGGATGGGTTTTCAGTAACTTACTAAAATTCTCACACAATTAGTGTAATTCTCTTTTTATTTTATTTTTTCCTCTCTCTCTTCTGCTAGTCACAGTTTTCTGACTCTGAGACTTTTGTCATTTGCTCTTATTGAGAAATTAAGATTTATTCTGGTCCTTAAGCCACCCAAAAAGCTTTCATTACAGTTCCTCAAGAGGCTGTCAAGGAAGTGTGGTAATCATGGGGTCATGTTATCATCCTGGTGTGCGCCAAAATGAACCCCATAGTAAGAATAAGCAGGCAATTCACAGAATGGTAAGAAGCTGCTAAGACACCACCTTAGGAGTGAATACTGGGGCCCACTTTAATATTGCTAGCCTCTGGGAGCTTTGAATCACCTCAGCTGAAAAAATAATTAGTGGGAGAAAAAAAAAACTGGCTGGAGAAGGGCATCAAGAATGTTGAAGGCCTGAGGGATTCCTCTGTGGAGGGTGTGAACCAAGTAGGTTTATGTAGGATTTGGTTTGTTTGCTTGCAGGCCTCAGATCCTCCACCCCGACCAAAGACACCAGAAATCCTCAGGTAAGCAACATGAAAACCAGGAGATAAAAAACAACATGAGAAGACATAGAGACTTGCTTAAGCTCAGCACTGCAGCAAACAGGCTAGCAGTAGGGCTAGAGAAATGCCATAAGCAGCAGATATGTGAGCTAATGAGGCTCTGGTTTTAAATCATGATCACAAGGCACAGACAGAAGTTACACTTTTCACCTGATCTGGTCCCTGAAAGCACTCTACAACCGTGACCAAACACAAGTGCACAGCTGTAGAGCTCTTTAAAAGGGCCCAATCCTGCAAAAATCATTGCATGAGGATTCAGATGAAGGTGCTCCAAAATGGAGTGACTTCAGTAACTTGTGTCTGCACTGCTTCCCAGCCCCAGTGCTGTTTTCAGAATGGGAGGGGTGGGAAAGGGAGCAGAGGGAGGTCAGTCTGGGGTTTTCTCAGCCAGTGCTAGAGCAGGTAGATTGGAGCCTCCCTGAGGCAGCCAGAATGAGCTCCCTCCTCTCTCTCACCTCCCTCCCATTCTGCAAACAGCGCTGGGACTAGGAGAGGGGAGGGGTGCTACTAGGGAACAGTAGCTGCAGGCTCACAGCCAGAGAAATGGAGAGTGCATCTGAGGGGAGGAGGGTGATTTGGGCCAGGCCACGATGCCCAAACTGGATCTCAGTAAAATAGACAGCTGCTCTGTGGATCCCATCTTAAGGATCCAGTGGCTTCCTAAACCAAGAGAATAACAATCTTATGACTTAGTGTTACTACCCAAATGTGAAGCGATGGTTTTAAAAGGGAATCAGGACTGCTGAGTTCTTTCCATCCCTGCCACTGACTAGCTGTACAGACCTTGAGTAAGTCAATGTTCCTCCTCTTTACATCCATCTGTAAAACAGCTCAGCCTCTTCCCACTGAGTCCACAAGGGTGAGCAGAGAGGGGTTGATTAAGGTATTGCTTTTACCCAGTGAAAGTAGGGCAGGGGAAGGGACCAGGAAAGTGAGAGACGGAAGAACTGCACGCTGCTATGATGGAAAGGGGGATGGGCTTTCACCCCAGCTCTAAGTGACTGAGCCATCACTTCCCCATGCAGGGCTTTGGAAGGAGAACCTCACAGAGTCCTGTTCGAGTTCACGCCCGAGACTTCTGAGGAACTGGCAGTCCTTCCAGGGAACATCGTCTTTGTCCTGAAGAGGGGAATTGACAACTGGGCCACTGTTATATTCAACGGGAAGGTACTTGCAGAGTACCCAGCACAAGGGACCTACAAGGCCATTGGTAGCATTTATGAGGGCTTGGGCAGACTGGCTCGTTGGGTTGCTTCATGTTTTGCTCCGTTCTGGCTGAAGCACTGGAGTTGACCCACATCACTGAGATCTTGTTACCAACACAGCTGGGCTGGGGCATGCTGTGAATGCAGATGTTTCTGAGGGTGCCTTAGATCAGTCGGGGAGCTCTTTAAACAACACCCCGTCATTCTGTTACTTCCCATCAGCCAGCATCCGAGCCCCACATGTATTCACCCCAGAGTCATGTCAGTGCACACGACCTTCCTAACTCAGCAGTATGCTCCTGTCTGATCAGCCACCATGCAGGGGTGCCTCCCTGTGCTTAGCTTTGGGTCAAGGAACAAGGAAACATTCCTCCCCTGCTGACACAACACAGCCAGAGCCTGGGAGGCTGTTCAGACACCAGCTTGAATTGAAAGAGGCCTCAAGGCTCAAGAGAAACTTTTTAAACTCTGCAGCAGCTGCCCCGCAGGGCTATGGGTTATGGAGTCATGCCCAGAGTAAGGGCAGGGGTTGGACCAAGTAGACCTGCTCTTCTCTGGCACAGCCGTCACCACCTTGTGACATGAATGTATAAACACACCCCAGTTTCTCTGTTTTTCCTCCTCCCAGAAAGGGATTGTTCCATTCAACTACCTTGAGGCGGTGGAGCTACAGAACAAACCTCACCAGTGGGTAAGGCAGTCTGGCAAACTAGCAGCGCAGGGAGGGGTGGGGGAAGGGAAAGGAAGCAGAATAGCAGCTCTCCAGCAGGAAGCCATTTTACTCCTGGGGACTAGTGCAGCTGCAAGCACGGGACTAGGATACCTGCAAGCAGCATCTCTCAGCAGGAATTGGATGCTTTGCTCCTGCCCCCCTAAAGCAGCAACTGCACCTCTTGTGCTAACAGGGAAGCTCCCATGGAGAGCAGAGGAATCTCAGCTACCTGGAGCTTCCCCTACTAAGTGTCCTCTGAGCAGTCATGGTAACACTAACTATTTTTGCATCCCACACAGGAGGAAAAATCCCCAGAGCTCGACATTCCTGACCCACCCAGTTTCAATGCTCCAGAAAAGCCCAGGCAGGCAGCACCAGGTCAGCAACCACGGGCCCTCGGGAAGCACCCAGGGAGCAATGGCTTGTGGGCAGATCTTTCAGGGCCAGGCACTCTGGGTCTATCACCCACCTCGACAGTGTGTCCTTCCACTCCCAGGCATCCCCTGTTCTGCTGTGTCTGCCCCAGCCAGCTGCAGCCATTGCTTCTGCAGCCAGGGACAGGGCCTGTCCCTCACTTGGTTGCAGCATTGTATAAGGCTGAGAACGGGACACAAGCAGGGGTGGGACTTGCAAGTGACTTTAACCCTCAAAAGGACTTGTTTTAAGTCATGTGTGCTCCTAAGTCCCTTTGGGTCTGTCTGTCTAGATGCTGTCCGGGTGGTCAGACTCACCCCAAAAGTCTTGCTGAGCATCAGGGCATGAGGTTGAGCCCCTTTGTGGCTGCACCTCCTTTCAGCATGCACATGACTCACGTGGGTGCTGCAGGCTCAGGGTACAGGACACCCCCATTCTACAGATGGAGGCACAAGGTAGAGACTCTGCCAGAGCAAGGGAGCTAGGAGAACCCATCTTGCTCAGTCCTCAGGACAGGGAATTCAGCAAAAGAACAAACAGTACTGCTACCTGGGGTTGCACCTGTTCTTTGGTTTGTTGTAGCACTTAGGATGGAGCTGTTTGCAGTGGGGAATTTTTCTGCTAAGCAAAGGGGATGACTTTCCTCTATGTCCTGGTGATCTCCAGTGCCACACTGATTTAACAGGCTTGGCCTGAAAGAAGGAGAGGCTAGTGACCTCTGTGAAGGTGTGGAAGTGCTTTGGGTCCTAGGCACAAGCAAGGACAGTCTTCTGGTTCAAGAGTTAATTGGAGCTATTTGCCACAAGAACACAAAAGCAGGATGCCTTCTGTGGCAGACTAGACAACTGTTGCAACAGGGCACTCCTTGTGCTACCTCACAGTGTTTAAGCCAGGAAAGATTTAGACAAGTGTACGAGATCCAAAATAATTGGTGGGGAGCAAGTGGTCTCAATTCCCAGATTTGAAACCTCTGTTGAAGTCCAAAATCCAGACTTTTCTAGGGGACCCACGCTACAGAGACTTTTCTGTTAGACAATAGAAATTGCCTAACAGAGACAGCTGTTCTTAGCATCCTGGTATTACTTTAGATTAATACCTGTGCTGGTGGATGTGGTGGGTTGACAATCCTGAAGAGTGAAATGCTTCATAACCCCAGGACAGGGAGGGAACAGGCATCTGCAAAACACCTGTAGCATTAAGTGTCCGTCAGGATCCAGAAGACAACTTCTAGGGTGCTACATTTTGGCCTCTGCTGAGGCTATCAATATGGCAGGGTGGTGGCAATAGCCAATTGCAATCTTGCTCTGCCAAACAAAGCTTTCTTTAAAACGGGCTGGTTTCAGGCAGAAACCAACTGGCATGTTTGGAACAGAACATTCACTTTCTGAATAAAATCTGTTGCCCCAAACAAAGCCACATTCAGGTGAAAGGAAACAGAAGGACGGGGCTGAATTTTCATTAAACAGACTTGTTTATTTAAAATGAAAGTGTGGTTGTTTTTTCCCTAGCAAATTTCAGATTTTTTGAAAACTTGAAAAACACCCTTCCTTTTTTTTTCTAAAATGTTTTCCACAGAGAAATACTTTTTAATCCCCTACCCGTCCTAAACAGTGAGTCACCCTGCAAGCTTAGCTGAGCAATTATAAATTTAACCCTCTTTGGGTCATAAGTCTCAGGAAATCTCCAGCTCCAGAAGCACTTTTATTGCACCAAAATCCTTAGAACAAAGTGAAGAGCACTGTGGCACTTCTGTGGGACATTTCATTGAGAATGTCAAAGAATGTCAATGGACCATGGGAGCAGATCTTTCTTGGGACAATCTGTCACAGCTCCACTGAAGTCAACCCCCTGCAAATTTAGTCTTATAATACGTCCATGAAACAGAGTTCTCTGCAGTCTGGAGAAATGGAGGCACAGAGAGGATACTGGTAATTTAAAACTAAACCAGTTAGATTACCTCTTGTAGCAACCTAACCAAGCTACTGGGCTTTGTTGTTGTTGGATGTAATGCCATGTTAGCAGGAAGGAGCCGCAGCAAGTCAGAGCATATATTTCCATATGCAGAAGGACAAGAGTTACCTGATTGGAGTCCAGTCACTGACCAGTTTACTTTGCCTTCCCATTCTGTTCAGATCACGCTCCTGTTACTTCTGACAAACAGCAGATGAAAGAGCAAAAGGTAACAAATCCTGCATTGTGGTGAATTTGTGGACCCAAGTTCTTCAGCAGTGGATATACTGTGCCCATGATATGGGTGTGCATTTGTTGTATATCAGGGTGATCATTTGGGCACCTCCAATCACTGCAGTACTAGCAAATTTTTAAAGCTGCTTGACTTTTTCAAAGAAGATAAAAGCTAAGGGCCTTTCTGAAATGTTTGATAAGACTCAGGGCACCTAAATCATAAGACTCAGGGCATCGTATGATCAGGGGGCAGCAGGTCAGGCCTTATGAGGAGAGGCTACAGGACCTGAACCTGTTCAGCCTCCAGAAGAGAAGGCTGAGGGGGGATCATCAGGCACTGGGGAAGTCCCTGTTCCCCCAAGCACTGCAAGAAGTGACCAGGAATAACGGTCACAAGCTGCTAGAGGGTAGATTTAGGCTGGATATCAGGAGGTACTACTTCACAGTCAGGGCAGCTAGGATCTGGAACCAACTTCCAAGAGAAGTGGCGGAAGCTCCTACCCTGGGGGTCTTTAAGAGGAGGCTAGATGAACACCTTACTGGGGTCGTTTGACCCCAGTACTCTTTCCTGCCATGGCAGGGGGTCGGACTAGATGATCTGCTCAGGTCCCTTCCAACCCTAGAAACTATGAAACTATAAATGTCATGTGAAGACTGCCAGACGCTTTGATCTTTTTACGCTTGTAGTAAAAATCAGTTATTGATATCCTTTATCTCCTTCCCTGTCCAAGCAGGACAGGCTTATGTTTACCTCACCCCATTTGCCCAAAATAACCCCAAACCTGCTTAAGGATTCATCAAATAAGGAGTTTGTCACTATGGCTCACACACCTGGGTTTCTAAAAACTGCCAGCATTGGGTGTTTAAACTTTCTTGTAGTAGTGGCTTTGGTGACAAGAATACCGGTCTGCTGGGAAAAGGATCAAAGCCACCTGTTGTACTTGTGCACATATTATCAGTTTTCCTGATAACAGATGCTAACAGGCTTTTGGTCACCAGCGACTTAGCTCAGATTTGAAACAGTGTCCTAGAGACAAACAGTTTCATATTCCATTGCCAGGTCCAGCTCATGCAGGTCCCGCTTTTCTCCTCCTAATGCATCTTTCTGTATCTGCACAATCAGTCAAATGTAAATGCTGATGTACAGATTGCCAATTCAGATCCATTTCACTGCCTGCAGGTGGGAGACTCAGCTGTTCCAACCCCATACATTCTCAAGGTGCACTACAAGTACACGGTAGCAATGGAAGCTAGACCTCAACTCGCCTACAGAGAGATTTTGGACATGGTCTGCAAGAAGCTGGAACTTTCGACACAGCACACAACACTGAGGTGAGCCACTGTCTGGCATCAGCATCATCCTTTTTCCAGGGGCTTCAGTTCAGGACTAATTTTTCCCTGTGCCCAGGTACCAGCCTGCAGGTAGTGGTGAGCTCATGGTTCTGAGTGAGGAGAGCATGAAGACAGCCTGGAGCCACGCTAAAGACCACTGCCTGACTCTGTGGTGCGGCAGCACAGAGGTCAGTAACAGCTGGTTCAAATGCTTACCAATTGCAGCCAGGATCTGTAGGTTGCTCTCAGCAGGAACACTTGCTGGTGGAGCTTGAGATGGCTGTAAGATCTGTACGAGTTTTGGACAGAAGCTTAACCGGGCAGTTCCTTGCCCTGTGTGGTTGTGGTGCATGGAGCAGCAGCACAGCAGCTACTATTTTTGCACCTCTCTCCTCCTCCCCAAGTCAGCACCCACAGCTGGTGCCCTTGTCACCTCTCCCCCATGATATTACTGATCTCAGACCTGAAGGTTTGAAAGGGAAGATCTGAAACATCCAGGTGTGTGTCAGAATTGTAAGGAGCAGTACCAGCATGTGAATGAGGGAGCTTACATCAAGTAACTTGTGCGCTGATGGACCCAGAAGCAGGTGTGCCCCCCCCATCCCCCTCCCTCCATTCCTCTTGTCTGGCCATTCAACACACAAGTTGCAACAACCTGAATCTTGGAATCAGAGGGACAAATTCAGAGAGAACCTGTGAATAGGGGGTGGTTATGTAGAAGCAGGTAAGACTAAATTTAAGGGACCTGAAGAACATGTACTAAACTATGGAATACAGCAGGGTGTGATAAATTACAGCAACTTGTATTTCTTTCATATCTGACCCCAAGTTAGTTATTAGGACTGGGCTCTTGTACAATGAGCAGATGTTTGCCAACACCAGCCCTATTGTTATCAGGAGCTGGAAGACAGGACCAGAGGAGCCATCAGTAAAGCAGCCCCCCTTTCTCCTCGCCCTGCGTGATTTCCCTCTTGCACACTATAGTGCCCTATCCTATGCTGCTAACACGTGAGGATTCAGAGGGCCTCTGACTTCACTCCACACTGTGCTCAGCAGTCTCTCTCAAGGGATGAACAATACATTAGGCTGACAGATGTTGTGTGAAAGCCTGGGAACAAAGAGCTTGGGGGGGGGGGGGAAAGGGGTCGCAGGCTGCATTGGGGGAGGGTTG